TTGATTGGAAATAAAATATATATCTATATCTATACAGATATATACATATATACATGTGTGTGTGTGTGTGTGTGTGTGTGTGTGTGTGTGTGTGTGTGTGTGTGTGTGTGTGTATTAAGCCGAACTTTTGACCAGAAGGCCTTATTTTGTTTTTAAAGTTTCATTTTTAAATGAACACAACACAAAATCACTTTCTGCGGGCTCCAAAGTGTACCGTTTAATCTGCAGATATAAAAAAATCAATTTTAAAAACATTTCTAATGTGAAAATATTTTATAATTTATTTTTTAACCAGCGATGAGTTGTATCTACGTTTTAGAAGAGCTGTCATTTTCGAGTGAAATCGCGCCACTGGAAACTGCGCCTATAGGCTTATGGAGCTGTTTGATTTGGCCTTAAATTGTTATGAAAAGCTATTCCAATATTCACCCTTCCAATTTGATATTTTCCTGTTAGCAGATCCACAGCCTTTGTTCTTTGTACACGTGGTGTCGTGTCAGGACGAGCATTGATATGTAGTCCTTATAGTTAATTCTCTGATAGTTAAAAAAATATATAAAATAAAATAGAAGAAGAAGAGAAAGAAGAAGAAAACAATAGAAGCGAGTAAGGCGAGAGATCTTGGTACTTGAATAGTTGAGTCGTCTCAAGAAGCACAATAATCCGCCTAATTGAGCCACAAGGGAAAGGACGAGCCTTTCAACCGCGACCGGAGAAACTTCACAGGACCGTGGACATGAGTGGAAATCAAGAGCTGGGCGGCCGGGCGCGGTTACAAATCTGATTAGCGCCAGGGACAAATTGCATCAAATCCCTGATATATTACAGAAGGCGGATTCGTGGAAATCAAAGTTACCGTGGCGGGAGCCGCGCGCGGGACCCGCGGCTTCTTCAATCAATCAGCGCGTCGCATCCACTCTGTGATGCACGTGAGCGCACGGGCGGAAAATGTTGAAGAAATCAGTGACTTTACGTTTAAATGAAAATAATAATAATAATAATAATAATAATAATAATAATAATAATAATAATAATAATAATAATAATAATAATAATAGTTTGTAGGTGTATTAAGTGTGATTTTGTTTGTATTTCCTGTTGTAGCCCACAGCGGTGGAGTTCTTTCCAGGCACTGCTTCATTAAACTGTCAGTGGAGGTGGCACGTCTGTTATGGCTGACATGATTGGAAACAGAGAGGCCCTTGATGGCATTTATCTGGAGGCGACCCTGTCATCTCTACCATTCGTGCCTCACTGACATCAACAGATGCTTTACGGATATTCTGCTTAACGCAGAGCTTGAAGCGGACCCCGCGTGTTTGCGTGTACAGGCAGGCAGCCGTTTTTGTTTTGTCTTGTTTTTTATTTATAATAACTTGATAAAAGGCTCTGGTCTGTCACCGTCCAGAGGTAACCAAGCGCGACTCCTTTTCACGTCGATATTTTGCTTATCGTTGGTCATCGTTCCGGTGACCTGCTACTAATCACATAAGAGCAGTATGTTTGTATGATCACCTGTGTCTACATATTTTATTAGAAAATAGATGCCTCGATTTTTGTTTTTATAGTAAAAAGATTGATTATCAGGAAATAATTTAAGACGTTAAAAACGGAACTTTTAATTTATTTTTAATCACCAGTCAACACTCCAAAATATCCAAACTAGCCTTTATTTTGAAAAGCTGATCTGTTGTTGTTCCAACTTTATGCTCTATTTTCTTCCACATTACACTAGCTTACACATTTTGTGCCAGACCTTTACATGACTCTTTTACTTTATTTATGACTATCGTATGCAAAATGAAAAGCGAAGAACAATAAATCAAACATAAACACCAATCAAAATAAATAACTGAATAAAGAAATAAGTAAAGGTTTTAAAGTGTTAAAATATAGATTTGAAAAACTCATTCAGTGGAATTTTTAACTACCAAAAGTTTTTTGTTTGTTTGTTTTTTGTTGATGTTGTCTTGTTTGTGTGTCTGTTTGTGTGTCTGTTTGTGTGTTTGTTTGTTTGTTTGTTTGTTTGTTTTGAGCCAAATATGTATTATGACGTACAGCAGGCTTGCCTCCATTCTCCTCTGTAGAGTAGGCAGTCAGTGTGGCACCCTTACCTTTATATTCACTGTCTGACGATGAGTTGCTGTGGATTTTCTCCATAAAGTCGTCCGCGATCTTCGAGGCCAGCCTCCCCGCCTCCTGAGTCGGCTGTCCATTGCTGGAGTAAGGAGCGCAGGCAGCCAGAGGCTTACAGTCCGCGAGAATATCTCTGATGAGAAACGACGAGGTCACGGTCCTCTGCTGCGACCCAGCAGATATCTGCGCGTGTTGCAGGTGCGGTGGTAGGCCGACGCCGTGACCTTGCCTCTGGGCTACCTCATCCACGCACTCCCTCCTCGGCGACGGAGGCGACGAACAGCCGCTCTCCACGTCTGATCTGGGGCTGAACTCCAGAGGGGAGCGGCACTCTCCCACCAGACTGTCCCCTTTGGACACCGGACTCCCAGGCCTGTGGGACAGCAGAGAGTCGATGCCAAAACTGGACCCATTGGCGGACGCCTCCATTGTCTTGATGAGACCTCCTCAAACTGACATTTGGTATTCAGGACAAGTTTTTATTTTAGGGCAGAAGGGGTTGTTTTAGTCTCAGCTGATCCAGAATAGAAGTGACCCCTTTCCGGCATCAACACAAATATTTTTGGATATGCTACAAATGAAGATAATTCACCCGCTACTTCCAGTCCCCCCGCCCCCAGCCGGCTTGTCGTTATTTTTAGGCCAGATATTTCCACGCTAAGATGAGTTACACGAATGGTCCATGATTCCAATGTTCGTCTTTCGGAAAAGTCTAAAAAAATAAAAGAGAAAGAGAGCGCGTGAGAGTCGAAGGAATCTCTCTGAAATCAACCGTAGGAGTCACAATCGATTCGTTTGGCTTCCTTCGGGATCAACTCCTTCTGTTTTGAGTTCAGAAGCCTCTCCGGGTAGATGAAGCGATCATTGCTGACATCTCACCTGCAGTACCCGAAAATACCCAGAAATACGGAGGATTTGTGGAGCAGCAGCCGCAGCTCAACGGCGTCTTCGGGAAAAAGCTGTTCAGCACCATGGACAGGGACAGCGTCAACCCCGAGATGGGACCGGGGGACAGTTTTCAGGGCAGCTGGTCATGAGGCTTTGCGGAAGACAGAGGCAAACTGCTCGCATTCCTTCAAGGGGGTCGGGCAAACCTTTAATAAATAAATAAATCTTTTAAAAAAGAAACCCAGTAGAGTGTGAGAGAGAAGCGTCCGAGAGCTGCTGCAGGAAAAGAGAGCAGCAAAAGAGGAAGAAGCGGAGGACGCAGGACGATGAGATGCGCAACGCAAAAGCAAAAATAAAAAAAAAGCTGCGATAAACTGGGTTAAACAGTCACATCTGGCAAGTAAATTGACGAGATGTGGTTGGGGTGGGAGGGAATCCCAAAAAATTGAACTTGAGGAAAAGTCAGGAGCTAGGTTTTAAGAGCGCCTCGTCCACGTGAGTCCCCTGTGACAAGCCTTCATTGGTTGAGGGGA